CTCGGTGGTCATGTGACACGACGTCCATGTATCGGATGTAACAATGTACTGGGGACTCCTGTGGTCACTGAACTCAGCCAGGAGCTCCGGAGGTCACTTTGTTGGGCGATTCCGTATCTCTGTACAGACGTGTGAGTGAGCAAAGATCAGATGAGTGATGGGGGGAGGGAGAGCCGGAGTCACTGCATCCATCGTCGGTAGGATGGGGGGCGGTACAACCGTACAGAGAATGGCTCTGAAATCGCTTCTCCGGAGTCTCCGCTCTTCTATTGTGACAACAGTGCAGCCTCCCCTCCCAGGGGTTCCATCACTTACCTTCCATGGCCTCCTTGTCAGGCTGAGGTTCCAGATGAACGCCAAGTCGAATGTCAGGTCGAATGTCAAGTCGAATGTCAGGTCGAATGTCAAGTCGAATGTCAGGTCGAATGTCAAGTCGAATGTCAGGTCGAATGTCAAGTCGAATGTCAGGTCGAATGTCAAGTCGAATGTCAGGTCGAATGTTGGGCTGAATCAAGTGTCAGGCTGAGTGTTGGATTGAGTGTCAGGCAAGTGTGGGGTCGAAAGTTGGGATAAGTGTAAGGTCGAATGTCAGGCTGAGTGTCAGGTCAAGTATTGGGCTGAGTGTTGGGTGGAGTGATGGGCTGAGTGTTGGGATGAGTGTCGGACTGAGTGTCGGGCTGAGTGTCAGACTGAGTGTTGGGTCTGTTGGATTGGGTGAGTGTTGGATGATGGGGATGAGTGTTGGGTGGAGTGATGGTCTGAGTGTTGGGATGAGTGTCAGACTGAGTGTCGGGTCAAGTGTTGGGTTGGGATGAGTGTCGGGATGAGTGTCGGATCGAGTGTTGGATTGGGATGAGTGTTGGGCTGAGTGTCGGACTGAGTGTCGGATCGCGTGTTGGATTGGGATGAGTGTTGGGCTGAGTGTCGGATGAGTGTTGGATTGGGTGGTGTCGGGCTGAGTGTTGGGCTGAGTGTCGGACTGAGTGTTGGATTGGGTGTCGGGCTGAGTGTCGGGTTGTGAGGCCATCCTATCACCTGCCTGAGCTCACTGCTGATAGGAGACACTCTGCGCCTGTAGCCCCGCACCCACATCCATCCCCTCCTGATGCAGCTGGATAGAGCGACCAATCTAAGCCCCGCCCAGTACACATCACATGACTCTGGACTTCCCTGTTACAAGAGACTGCAGCAAAGTACCAGAGACTGTCATGTTAAAGTAAGATCCGAGCTTCCATAGACTTGTACAGTCATGTCTCTCTGCAAGAAAATGTTAAAGACCTCTTATATGTTACTAGAGACTGCTAGAGACGCTGTCATGGTGCAAGAGACTGCTAGAGACACTGTCGTGCTGGAAGAGACTGTAGAGACACTGTACTGCAAGAGACTGCTAGAGACGCTGTCGTACTGCAAGAGACTGCTAGAGACGCTGTCATGGTGCAAGAGACTGCTAGAGACGCTGTCGTACTGCAAGAGACTGCTAGAGACACTGTCGACTGCAAGAGACTGCTAGAGACGCTGTCATGGTGCAAGAGACTGCTAGAGACGCTGTCGTGGTGCAAGAGACTGCTAGAGACACTGTCATGGTGCAAGAGACTGCTAGAGACACTGTCATGGCAAGAGACTGCAAGAGACTGCTAGAGACGCTGTCATGGTGCAAGAGACTGCTAGAGACACTGTCGTGGTGCAAGAGACTGCTAGAGACACTGTCATGGTGCAAGAGACTGCTAGAGACACTGTCATGGTGCAAGAGACTGCTAGAGACACTGTCATGGTGCAAGAGACTGCTAGAGACGCTGTCATCGTACTGCAAGAGACTGCTAGAGAGATGGTGCAAGAGACTGCTAGAGACGCTGTCGTACTGCAAGAGACTGCTAGAGACGCTGTCATGGTGCAAGAGACTGCTAGAGACGCTGTCGTACTGCAAGAGACTGCTAGAGACACTGTCGTACTGCAAGAGACTGCTAGAGACACTGTCATGGTGCAAGAGACTGCAAGAGACTGCTAGAGACGCTGTCATGGTGCAAGAGACTGCTAGAGACTGTCTGCAAGAGACTGCTAGAGACACTGTCGTGGTGCAAGAGACTGCTAGAGACGCTGTCATGGTGCAAGAGACTGCTAGAGACACTGTCATGGTGCAAGAGACTGCTAGAGACACTGTCATGGTGCAAGAGACTGCTAGAGACACTGTCATGGTGCAAGAGACTGCAAGAGAGACTGTCATGGTGCAAGAGACTGCTAGAGACACTGTCATGGTGCAAGAGACTGCTAGAGACACTGTCATGGTGCAAGAGACTGCTAGAGACGCTGTCATGGTGCAAGAGACTGCTAGAGACGCTGTCATGGTGCAAGAGACTGCTAGAGACGCTGTGTGCAAGAGGTCATGGTGCAAGAGAGAGACACTGTCGTGCTGCAAGAGACTGCTGACGCTGTCGTGCTGCAAGAGACTGCTAGAGACGCTGTCGTGCTGCAAGAGACTGCAAGAGACACTGTCATGGTGCAAGAGACTGCTAGAGACACTGTCGTGCTGCAAGAGACTGCTAGAGACACTGTCATGGTGCAAGTTACTGGCAGAGATGGTGATTGTAGTACAAGGGACTGTTAGAGACGGTGGACTGTTACCAGGGACTGTTAGAGACGGTGAGTTGTGAGTTGTGTTAGACAGTGGCTGTGGACTGTTAGAGATGGTCGGTGAGTTGTGAGGGGTTGTTTAGACGGTGAGTTGTGGCTGTTGTTGAGGGACCGAGACGGACTGTTTGAGGGAGTTAGAGACGGTCGGTGAGTTGTGAGTTTGTTAGAGACGGTCGGTGAGTTGTGAGGGACTGTTAGAGACGGTCGACTGTGACGGTCGGTGAGGGACTGTTAGAGACGGTCGGTGAGTTGTGAGGGACTGTTAGACGGTGGCTGTGTTCCGAGGGACTGTTAGAGACGGTCGGTGAGTTGTGAGGGACTGTTAGAGACGGTCGGTGAGTTGTGAGGGACTGTTAGAGACGGTGGCTGGTTCGAGGGACTGTTAGAGACGGTTGTGAGTTGGAGGGACTGTTAGAGACGGTCGGTGAGTTGTGAGGGACTGTTAGAGACGGTCGGTGAGTTGTGAGGGACTGTTAGAGACGGTCGACTGTGAGTTGTGAGGGACTGTTAGGATGGTCGGTGAGTTGTGAGGGACTGAGAGACGGTCGGTGAGTTGTGAGGGATTGTTAGAGACGGTCGGTGAGTTGTGAGGGACTGTTAGAGACGGTCGGTGAGTTGTGAGGGACTGTTAGAGACGGTCGGTGAGTTGTGAGGGACTGTTAGAGACGGTGGCTGTGTTCCGAGGGACTGTTAGAGACGGTCGGTGAGTTGTTGAGGGACTGTTAGAGACGGTCGGTGAGTTGTGAGGGACTGTTAGAGGTGGCTGCTGTTTCCGAGGGACTGTTAGAGACGGTGGCGGTGAGTTGTGAGGGACTGTTAGAGACGGTCGGTGAGTTGTGAGGGACTGTTAGAGACGGTCGGTGAGTTGTGAGGGACTGTTAGAGACGGTCGGTGAGTTGTGAGGGACTGTTAGAGACGGTCGGTGAGTTGTGAGGGACTGTTAGAGACGGTGGCTGTGTTCCGAGGGACTGTTAGAGACGGTCGGTGAGTTGTGAGGGACTGTTAGAGACGGTCGGTGAGTTGTGAGGGACTGTTAGAGACGGTGGCTGTGTTCCGAGGGACTGATAGAGACGGTCGGTGAGTTGTGAGGGACTGTTAGAGACGGTCGGTGAGTTGTGAGGGACTGTTAGAGACGGTGGCTGTGTTCCGAGGGACTGTTTGAGTTGTGAGGGACTGTTAGAGACGGTCGGTGAGTTGTGAGGGACTGTTAGAGACGGTCGGTGAGTTGTGAGGGACTGTTAGAGAGAGACGGACTGTTAGGACTGTGTGAGTTGTGAGGGACTGTTAGGGAGTTGTGAGGGACTGTTAGAGACGGTCGGTGAGTTGTGAGGGACTGGGACTGTTAGAGACGGTCGTCGGTGAGTTGTGAGGGACTGTTAGGACGGTCGGTGAGTTGTGACCGATGGGGACTGTTAGAGACGGTCGGTGAGTTTGAGGGACTGTTAGAGACGGTGGCTGTGTTCCGAGGGACTGATAGAGACGGTCGGTGAGTTGTGAGGGACTGTTAGAGACGGTCGGTGAGTTGTTGTTAGAGGGGTGGCTGTGTTCGGACTGTTAGAGACGGTCGGTGAGTTGTGAGGGACTGTTAGAGACGGTCGGTGAGTTGTGAGGGACTGTTAGAGACGGTCGGTGAGTTGTGAGGGACTGTTAGAGACGGTCGGTGAGTTGTGAGGGACTGTTTAGAGTCGGTGAGTTGTGAGGGACTGTTAGAGACGGTCGGTGAGGTTGTGAGGGACTGTTTGCTGGTTGCCTGCCACCCCCAGATATAGAGGCAGCCCACAATGGTCCTACAACCCAACCCCCGGCCCGCCTCATCATCCTCCACCCAGGACCCCTCCCCATCAATGCCCATGTTAGGCCATGGATATGAACCCCCCCCCCCATCTGCTCGTACTTGGCTCCGCCCACAATCGGACATTGCGGAACGATGGAGCGCGCTCTCCAGTGTCCGGGATCAGCCCGCTGTGTTGCAGTTCCTCGGGGGGCCCATTCAAACGTCAGCGTTCCATTTCTGTGCGTTAGGCGGCGCGCTCGTTACCAACATTCAGCCACGCCCCACAATGGGGGAACGCAGACACGCCCCACAATGGGGGAACGCAGACACGCCCCACAATGGGGGAATGCAGACACGCGTCCGTCGCGGTGCGTTGGGGTGGGGCGGCCCTGACGCACATGGAGCCGGAGGACGGCTTTACACGGAGGCAGCGCTCGGCCCCATGCGTTGCGCGGTGATGCGTTTTCAGAGTGTGAATGGGCCCCACCAGGCGATATCATCCCAGGGCCACGCCCCCCCCCGGCGATGTCGCCTCCCCCCCACGGACATCGATCTGTTACCCACACCCACAATTATTTTCTGTATTTCTTTCTTCTAGATGAATCGACCGATTCAGGTGAAACCTGCAGACAGCGAGAGCCGAGGAGGTAGGTGACCCCGACCAATCAGAATCCTTCCATTTCCCACAATGCCCTCTGTGCGCCCGTTCCCCGTCATCTCATTTTATACCCGATGATGTCATCACTGGGCCTCTGTGCTTCTCTATGCAATTCAGGCAGATCGTGGCTGGTGGGAGGGGCCGGGAGGGGATCCCTGTGCTTCTCTATGCCACGCAGACAGATCATGGCTGGTGGGAGGGGCCTGCTTCCTGAAAAAAACATTGCATCCCCCGGCCTCAGTCCTCCTCCCAAAAGCCCTCGGTCTTGATGCAAGCAGTGGGAGGAGTTACGCAAATATTAAAATGCCTTGATGGGTGGGCGTCAGTCTGGAGCAGTGGGCGTTCCTAAACTGGCTGTATTTGCATAGGTAACACCCACAATGCTAATCCTCCATGATTGAAAGAACTGATATCCAGTGAATTAAAGTGGGCAGGGACAGGGACAGGCGGGAAGGGGCGGTGCCATGGACAGGCAGGCTGGGGGAGAAAAGGGCGGGGCCATGGACAGGCAGGCTAGGGAGGAAAGGGGCGTGGCCAGGGACAGGTAGGCTTGGGAGGAAAGGGGCGAGGCCAGGGCCAGGCAGGCTGGGGAGGAAAGGGGCGGGCAAGGGGGCGAGGCCAGGGACAGGTAGGCTGGGGAGGAAAGGGGCGGGGCCAGGGACAGGCAGGCTGTGGAGGAAAGGGGCGAGGCCAGGGCCAGGCAGGCTGGGGGGGAAATGGGCGGGGCCATGCAGGCTGGGGAGGAAAGGGGCGAGGCCAGGGACAGGTAGGCTGGGGAGGAAAGGGGCGAGGCCAGGGCCAGGCAGGCTGGGGAGGAAATGGGCGAGGCCAGGCAGGCTGGGGAGGAAAGGGGCGAGGCCAGGGACAGGCAGGCTGGGGAGGAAAGAGGCGAGGCCTGGGGAGGAAAGGGACAGGCAGGCTGGGGAGGAAAGGGGCAGGGCCAGGCAGGCTGGGGAGGAAAGGGGTGAGGCCAGGGACAGGCAGGCTGGGGAGGAAAGGGGCGAGGCCAGGGCCAGGCAGGCTGGGGATGAAAGGAGTAGGGCCAGGGACAGGCAGGCTGGGGAGGAAAGGGGCGGGGCCAGGCAGGCTGGGGAGGAAAGGTGGGGCCAGGACGGGCAGGCTGGGGAAGAAAGGGGCAAGGCCAGGGACAGGCAGGCTGGGGAGGAAAGGGGCGGGGCCAGGCAGGCTGGGGAGGAAAGGGGTGAGGCCAGGGACAATCAAGCTCTGGGGGAAAGCACTAGATGATGCTGGACGTCCTCCACCTGGGAAATGTCTGGCTTGCATGTCCAAGTTGACTCACCCGTACAATCCCACGATGCCCTTGTGCGGTCCTGTGTGCCGTCACGTTGCGTCACGACGTCACGACCTTCGTTCCTCCTCGACTCCCACCTCCTCTTTCTCTCTCCCTTCTCTAGAGGACCGCAAGCTGTTCGTCGGCATGCTGGGAAAGCAGCAGACAGACGAGGATGTCCGCAGGATGTTCGAGCCCTTCGGGAACATAGACGAGTGTACGGTCCTTCGGGGGGCCGGACGGGACCAGCAAAGGTAACCGGGAGCCCGTGACGCGGCGGCCTTACCTAAGAAAAAAAAAAAAAATTTAAAGGGCAACTCCAGGCAAATCCCTCACAGAGCCAACGGTGTGAACACAAGCCCTGATTTGTAGATTTCAGCCCGCAGGTGGCGCTCTCTACAGGCGAGGACGGGCGGAGGGCGCCATCCAAGTGCAGTACAATGAATCTTTATTGAATTTTTTTTTTTTTGTCTTTGCCTGGAGTTCGTCCTTCAAGTGTACCGGTCACTTAAAGTGGAGCAGCCATTTTTTTTTGGGGCCCACATTCCACCTTTGGGTGGGGTGGTGCTTTAAATACCATAACTGCCCCACCCGACGCGTTTCGGACGTTCTGTTGTGTGATCATTGTGCTGCGGTGCTGCCCCCTTGTGTCGTGTAGTAATGTGGTATCTCCCGCGCTTAGGTTGTGCATTTGTGAAGTTTCAGACACATTCAGAGGCGCAGGCGGCCATCAACGCGCTCCACGGGAGCCGGACACTGCCGGTAAGACGACAAGAGACTCCGCCCCCCCATGTAGATGTGTGCTTACTTAGTCGGGGGGGGGGGGGGGGGGGGGGGGGGGGGGGGGGGGGGGGGGGGGGGGGGGGGGGGGGGGGGGGGGGGGGGGGGGGGGGGGGGGGGGGGGGGGGGGGGGGGGGGGGGGGGGGGGGGGAGGGGGGGGGGAGGAGGTTGCGTGTTGTGCGTGCGTGTGTGTGCGTGGTGGTGGCGGCTGCCGTGACGGTCCAGCCGATTTGATCCTCCCAGGGTAGTCATGCGTCACGGCCAACGCGATGACGTCACTCCGCCCTCTCTCCGCAGGGGGCCTCCTCCAGCCTGGTGGTGAAATTCGCCGACACGGAGAAGGAGCGGGGGCTGCGCCGGATGCAGCAGGTGGCCAATCAGCTCGGCATGTTCAGCCCCATCGCCCTCCAGTTCGGGGCGTACAGCGCGTACACACAGGCAGTAAGTGACCAGGTGAATTCAGCGCCCTTTTCTTGACCAAAAATTTATCTATGTGCGTGACGCATGACCGTGTTTATGTGACATCATCACCGCATGCTCCTCCCCCTACACCACTACGCATTTTGATGTTTGAACCCCGTCCCTGCTTAATCAGTCCAGCATCACATGCTCCTCCCCCACACCACTATTGGATGTTGCCTTCCAGCATTTTGATGTTTGAACCCTGCCCACCTCATCACTCCGCCATCACATGCTCCTCCCCCACACTACTATTGGATGTTGCCTTCCAGCATTTTGATGTTTGAACCCCGCCCACCTCATCACTCCGCCATCACATGCTCCTCCCCCACACTACTATTGGATGTTGCCTTCCAGCATTTTGATGTTTGAACCCCGCCCACCTCATCACTCCGGTATCACATGCTCCTCCCACACACCACTATTGGATGTTGTCTTCCAGCATTTTGATGTTTGAACCCCGCCCACCCCATCACTCCAGCATTACATGCTCCTCCCCCACATCACTGTTGGATGTTGCCTTCCAGCATTTTGCCCCAACAAGTTTGAACCCCGCCCCCTGATCACTCCATGATCACATGCTCCTCCCCCACACCACTATTGGATGTATCCTTCCAGCATTTTTCCCCCACAAGTTTGAACCCCGCCCCTGCTTAATCGCTCTTCCATCATATGCTCCTCCCCCACACCACTATTGGATGTTGCCTTCCAATATTTTGACGTTTTAACCCCGACCCCACCCCATCACTCTGGCATCACATGCTCCACCCCCACACCACTATAGGATGTTGCCTTCCAGCATTTTGTCCCCCACAAGTTTGAACCCCGCCCCCTAATCACTTCAACGTCACATGCTCCTCCCCCACATCACTATTGGATGTTGCCTTCCCGCATTTTGACATTTTGCACCTACAAGTTTGAACCCCGCCCAATCACTCCGCCATCACATGCTCCTCCCCCACACCACTATTGGATGTTGCCTTCCAGCATTTTGCCCCCACAAGTTTTAACCCCACCCCCGCCCAATCACTCCCAGCCTTTTATTTGGCCAGTCGGAGTAAATTTGCATTTCTAAGACTCCTAACCGTTCCGGAGGGACCCTGGAAGTCGTATGTAGCTCGGGAGAAGGATGGCTTCCATCAGAGGCTTCTCAGAAAATTTTCCAAAATTTAATGGGGGGGGGGAGGGGGGGAATTGGTGGGCCCAATTTTGCAAATTTTTTTGGAGCATTTGATGGCCACATTCATCTCATGTCAAGCTGTGATGGTCCTCATTGGACGTGACCATGGTCACATGACCGAGAAGGGTCGCTACGATGGTGGTCATAGCTTGGTGGATTTAGCCCTTTGTCCGTTGGCCAGCAGACCTCCGTCACCCCAGTGACATCATCACCCCAGTGACATCATCACCCCATTCACCTTTTCATCTTCACCCCCCCCCCCATTTTGTCCTAGTCTCCGATGGTCTTGGAACGTGACGTCTCCTTTCATTGTTCGTCTTGTGTTGTGGCTCACATCGACCGTCTTGCTGTTGTCCTCACACTGGTGTTTGTTTTTTTCATCCCCCCGCAGCTTATGCAGCAGCAGCAGGCCGCCCTGGTGGCCGCTCACAGTGCTTACCTCAACCCCATGGCCACCATGGCCGCCGTCCAGATGCAGCAAATGGCGACAATCAACCCCAACGGGATCATAGCCACTCCCATCACCCCAATAACCCCCATCACATCCTCTTCAGGTGAGACCAGGCTCTGACTGCTTAGACTCGGGAGTGCAGGTGATGCAGGCCTTCCCTGCCGTAGATGGCACCAACTTTCAGATAGAAGACCTTCAGAAGGCTAGGAGTTCCAGCACTGCCAAAAATAAAATTTGAGAAATTTGGTAACCACCTCAGTTGGGAATTTCGGAAGGGTAGGCCATGGAAAATTTCAAAATTCAAGTAAAATTGAAGCAATTTAGACACTTCCTGAAAAACAAATGTTTCAAACGTTCTTTCCTGGTGAGTTCCAAATTCTGAGATGTCTCCTAGAGTTCTCTGTGGGTGGCCAACTCAGGAGGTCCAGAAATCAGAAAATTTCTCAAGAAAAAAAACAGTTTGGACGTAGAAGGTTCTCTGTGGGTAATTCTCAAGAGCTTTTTATAATGTAGGAAAACCAGCAAATCTAAATTTGAACCTTGCACAAACCCAACTTTAGGCCTACAAACACCTCACCTGTCCAAAGCCTATAGTGACATTGCATTAAAAAAAAAAAAAAAACTTCTCAGTTGGGAAATTTTGTTAGGGTAGGCCATGGAAATTTTCAAAATTCAAGTAAAATTTTGAATCAATTTAGACACTTCCTGAAAAAACAAATGTTTCAAACGTTCTTTCCTGGTGAGTTCCAAATTCTGAGATGTTCCTAGAGTTCTCTGTGGGTGGCCAACTCAGGAGGTCCAGAAATCAGAAAATTTCACAAGAAAAAAAAAGTTTGGACGTAAGGAGTAGAAGGTTCTCTGTGGGTAATTCTCAAGAGCTTTTTATAATGTAGGAAAACCAGCAAATCTAAATTTGAACCTTGCAAAAAACCCAACTTTAGGCCTACAAACACCTCACCTGTCCAGTGAGCCTATAGTGACATTGCATTAAAAAAAAAAAAAAAAAAAAAAAAAAAAAAACTTCTCAGTTGGGAAATTTTGTTAGGTTAGGCCATGGAATATTTTAAAATTCAAGTAAAAATTTTAAGCAATTTAGACACTTCCTGAAAAAAAACAAATGTTTCAACCCTTCTTTCCTGGTGAGTTCCAAAATCTGAGATGTCCTCAGTGGGTGGGCAATTCAGGAGGTCCAGAAATCAGAAAATTTCTCAAGAAAAAAAACAGTTTGAACGGAAGGAGTAGAAGGTTCTCTGTGGGTAATTCTCAAAAGGTCTCTATAAAGTAGGAAAACCAGCAAATCTAAATTTGAACTTTGCAAAAAAAACAACTTTAGGCCTACAAAAACATCTCACCTGTCCAGAGCCTATAGTAACTTTACATAAAAGAACCTTCTCAGCTGGGAATTTTGTTAGGAAATTTAAATTTTAAATTGAATTTTGACATTTTCAACAATTTTTAAACATTTCCTGAAACACAAATGTTTCAAACCTCCTTTTCTGGTGGGTTCCAAATTCTGAGATGCCTGCTAAAAAAAAAAAACAAATTTTGAAAATATTTCAAAATTCAAGTAAAAATTTTAAGCAATTCAGACACTTCCTGAAACACAAATGTTTCAAATCTCCTTTTCTGGTGGGTTCCAAATTCTGAGATGCCTCCTAAAAAAAAAAAAAATTTTGAAAATATTTCAAAATTCAATAAAATTTTTAAGCAATTCAGACACTTCCTGAAACACAATTGTTTCAAACCTTTTTTGGTGGGTTCCAAATTCTGAGATGTCTCCTAAAAAAAAAAAAAAATTGAAAATATTTCAAAATTCAAGTAAAATGTTTAAGCAATTTAGACACTTCCTGAAAAAAAAACAAATGTTTCAAACCTCCTTTTTTGGTGGGTTCCAAATTCTGAGATGTCTCCTAAAAGAAAAAAAATTTTTTGAAAATATTTCAAAATTCAAGTAAAATTTTCAAGCAATTCAGACACTTCCTGAAAACACAAATGTTTCAAATCTTTTTTGGTGGGTTCCAAATTCTGAGATGTCTCCTAAAAAAAAAAAAATTTGAAAATATTTCAAAATTCAAGTAAAATGTTTAAGCAATTTAGACACTTCCTGAAAAAAACAAATGTTTCAAACCTCCTTTTTTGGTGGGTTCCAAATTCTGAGATGTCTCCTAAAAGAAAAAAATTTTTTGAAAATATTTCAAAATTCAAGTAAAATTTTCAAGCAATTCAGACACTTCCTGAAACACAAATGTTTCAAATCTTTTTTGGTGGGTTCCAAATTCTGAGATGTCTCCTAAAAGAAAAAAAAAATTAGAAAAATATTTCAAAATTCAAGTAAAATTTTTAAGCAATTCAGGCACTTCCTGAAACACAAATGTTTCAAATCTCATATTTTGGTGGGTTCCAAACTCTGAAATGTCTCCTAAGAAAAAAAAAACACAAATTTTGAAAATATTTCAAAATTAAATTAAAATTTTTAAGCAATTCAGACACTTCCTGAAACACAAATGTTTCAAACCTTCTTTTCTGGTGGGTTCCAAATTCTGAGATGTCCTCAGTGGGTGTCCTCTGGAGGTCCAGAAATCAGAAAATGTATCCTAAGGAAGGAGATTTTGGACGTAAGGAGTAGAACGTGACTTGTGGGTAATTCTGTAGAGAAAAAGTTTTTTTCGGGACTCTCAACCACCTAGTCCCTTGAGTAGTACAGGTAGATCCTCATATATAGTTCCTCATATCAATAATAATATCTGTGGTACCTTTTTAAATTCTTCACCAAGCAAGGACTTCCAACACCTCCTGGCTTAGACCCAAAGGCTACCACTTAGGGTCCAAAAATGGCCATGTATACATTTGATAACATCTCCCATTTGGACAATGATGTTGAGTTGATCCTACAATGCCTGAGATTCAATAAGTGGTTCGTTCGCATGACATAAAATTGGACCCTAAGTGGTGGCCTTTTGAGATTTAATAGGTGGTCCGTTCGTATGACATAAAGTTGGACCCTAAGTGGTGGCCTTTTGAGATTTAATAGGTGGTCCGTTCGCATGACATAAAGTTGGACCCTAAGTGTGGTCTTTTGAGATTTAAAGGTGGTCCGCTCCATGACATAAAGTTGGGGTCTAAGTGGTGGCTTTTTGGTTTAAGACAGGAGAAGCTGGAAATTTGGTGAGGAGGAAGTCGAGGCCCATTGAACAAGCCAAGACTTTGTTTTCAGCTGGCCGTCAGCCAGGTCTTCTCCTCCACCGTCAGTACTGGCCACAGATTCCCAGAGAGGCTTCAAAATCTTGTGGAAAGCTTTCCCAGAAGAGTCGGGGCTGTTATAGTTCCAAAAGTGGGGCAAGTCAATGGCCATGGCTTTGGAATAAGATGTCCAACAAGTTGATACATAGGTGTGATGGTCAGGTGTCCACAAAATGTTAGTTCTCTGAAGTTTCTCTTAGGAAAATAGAAATTTCTTCAGGCCTTCAGGCCATAGGAAGTCCTTTCACTGGCACGTCTGTGAAGGTTCTCAGGTGGACCTGCTTTTGTAATGTTGAAGACCTCCAGGTAGTTCCTCATACTTGTTGAAAACCGAAAAAGCTATTTGGTTGAATGTCGAAACATCTTCAACGTTACAGAACCAGTCCAACTGGATGCGACTAACGACTGCGTTCCGTATCTGGGGAGTCGTAGGCCATATCCCCTGGAATGGTTTGTGATCAGGAACCTGCCCTACCACAAATGGACACCATGTGAAGTAACGACGGCTCACCGTGTTCTTGGTTCTGTCTGCCCAGGTACCAGTACACCCCCCACTCTTGCAGCCACACCAGTATCAGCCATCCCTGCCACCCTGGGAGTTAACGGCTATAGCGCAGTGCCCACGCAGAGCAGCGTTCAGCCCAGCTCGGAGGCTATCTACACCAATGGCCTTCACCCGTATCCAGGTAATACTGGTATGTATGATATTCTCAGTCCGTCTACCTGCTATGCTTGGCAGCATCTTGTCATGGAGCCCTCTTTTTTTTTTTTTTTTTTCTCCTGTAGCCCAGAGTCCGGTGACCCAACTGGACCCTCTACAGCAGGCCTATGCCGGCATGCAGCACTACACAGGTAAATAGGTGTTGAGTGAATGAGGAGCCAAGAAAATGTTCCTCACCATCTACTTCCTAGCCCTTCACCATAAGCCGGACCCTATCTTCTGCCCTTCACAGCTGTCCATGCCCCAAGCCCAAGAACAGGCCACATGTTGAACCCTCGCTATATTATCTCATTTGTATCCTCTTCGCAGCTGCCTATCCTGCAGCCTACGGCCTGGTGAGCCCAGCGTTTACGCAGCCTCCACCATTATTACCCCAGCAGCCCCCACAGCAGCAGCAACAAAGAGAGGGTGAGTCTGCCATCTTCCTTCCTAACCAATCCCTCTTCAGAACTTCTAACGGAACCAACCTTTTGACGACCGGTTGCCTTTTTTCCCTCACCTCAGGTCCGGAGGGCTGCAACATCTTTATCTACCACCTGCCCCAAGAGTTCACGGATTCGGAGATCCTTCAGATGTTCCTCCCATTCGGCAACGTCATCTCCGCCAAAGTGTTTGTAGACAGAGCCACCAATCAGAGCAAGTGCTTCGGTGAGTACGCCTTCCACTCCTTGGCGAAAATCCTTACTTTGCCGCCAAATCAGTTGGAAGCCTCTTCTGATGTCCTTTTTTTTTTTTTTTTTGGTCCTCACCACAGGCTTTGTAAGTTTTGACAATCCCGGCAGCGCCCAAGCTGCCATTCAGGCCATGAACGGTTTCCAGATTGGCATGAAGAGACTCAAAGTACAACTAAAGAGACCAAAAGATGCCAACCGGCCATATTGAGGAGTTCAGGTGGGTACCAGAGGGAGAGAGCCAACAAAAAGCTCTTGAGAACCTCCCCAAAAGTCTGTGTAGGTCAAACCCAGAAGGAGCTCTAGGTTTAATATTGACGGGTGGAACTGTTAAAACCAGTTTTTGTCCGGGTTCAACGTTACCCTGGTCAGGAGAAAACTGGGAGGAGCAAGAGAGAAATTTGAGAAGTCACTTTGGGCCTTGTACGTAGCTCCACCATAAAGCGGCCGGTCGTAGGCTTGTGGTAAGGGCCCTGTTGAGTGTCATCTGGTGCCGTATCGTGAGTCTGGTCCTCGTTGCCTACTTCTGTCTCCTTTCCTGTTTTTGGAATAGTTTGTCTTTCCATGGTTTTTATTTTCCGTTCATTATCGTTTTTTTAATTGCCCAGAGAGGAAAAAAAAAAAAAAGAAGGAAGATCTGATCCCAGTGGACCCTTCACATGGTGACCGAATGAGGTCATCACTGGGCGAGGAGCCTTCCAAGTATAATCTACCGATTTGTAGGCCCAACCACATTAGTAAAAGCTCAAGAAATGAGGGGGGGAGGGGCATGGTTCAAGAATCTCATTGGGATCTGATGATCTCCTTAAGGTGTTGAGCCTTCAAACTCAGCCTAGGTACCACATTTAGAGGACGGTAGGCTGGTGAAGATGTGATTTTGAGATCCTAGAACGACTGATCTAGAAATTCAAAATTTTGGGGGGGTTTGAAGTCTACAGGAATGTTTTGGGTTTTTTTTAAAGAAAAAAAAGAATTAAAAAAAAAAATTTTTTTTTTTTTTTTTTAGAAACTACTGTGATCCCAAGATAAAAAAAAAAAAAAAAAAAAAAAACACCAATTTTTTGGGTTGCTGCAGGAATGTTCAATTTTTCTTTCCTGGTCCTGGTAAATTTTGAGATCCTAGAACGTGTGATCTAGAAATTCGAAATTTTTTTTGGGGGTTTGAAGTCTACAGGAACGTTTTTTGTTTTTCTTTTAAAGAAAAGAAGAATTAAAAAAAAAAATATATATATATTTTTTTTAGAAACTACTCTGATCCCAAGATCTACAAAAAAAAAAAAAAAACCACCGATTTCTTGGGTTGCTGCAGGAATGTTCAATTTTTCTTTCCTGGTAAATTTTGAGATCCTAGAACGTGTGATCTAGAAATTCAAAATTTTTAGGGGGATTTGAAGTTTACAGGAACATTTTTTTTTTTTTTTTTAAAGCAAAAAATAATTTAAAAAAATATATATATATATTTTTTTTAGAAACTACTCTGATCCCAAGATTTAAAAAAAAAACAAAAAAAAAAAACCCCCACCAATTTCTTGGGTTGCTGCAGGAATGTTCAATTTTTCTTTGCTGGTCCTGGTAAATTTGAGATTCCTAGAACGTGTGATCTAGAAATTCGAAATTTTGGGGGGTTTGAAGTCTACAGGAACGAATTAAAAAAAAAAATATATATGTATATTTTTTTAGAAACTACTCTGATCCCAAGATCTAAAAAAAAAAACAAAAACAAAAACAAAAAAAAACCCCAGGAATGTTCAATTTTTCTTTTTTTTTACATTAGAAATCTCATATGTAGCCAAAAATAAAAGTAATGTAATATGTTTAAAAATTTTATATTTTAAACCTTAGGCCAGATATTATTATTTTTATTTTTTTTTTTATTTTTATTTTTTTTTTTCCACAGGAGAATTTTTGCTAGCGGTTCAAGTTAATTTATGTGTGTCCAGATCATCGTTTTAATAGGTTTATTTAAAAAAAAAAAAATGAAAATAAACTGCTTTCCTAAATAAAACAGAAGGAAATTAAAAAAAAAAAAAAAAGAAATAATATTTCTATTAACCACATGACCAAAACAAAACAGCTTCTCTTTTTCTGCCGCTTGAAACCCGCCCCACCTTGTGCCAGGGTCCAATCAAATCATGAGATGACTCTGTCGCTCTGACGTATACCTAGCGTCCATTGGCTGCTCTGGGACTCGTAGCACCGCCCCTTGTAAGTTGCATCCACTGGAATGACCGTGTTGTATTTTAAGACCCTAACTACCTCACCCTCCTCCCTACTCTTCCTCCTCCAAAAGCCCCGCCCCTGAGGAGTGGCTCCAAAGGGAGGTCTCGGTGGTGTTTTAGGATGCATGGAGTGCTGTGAAGTTTTGGAGTTTATGTGCCGTGCAATACTGACTGTTTTTTTTTAATACAGGGCAACGTAAGACCCGGCGGGTGACTTCCTTTTAAAAATGCATCCTCAGTATGTTTCCAAACCGCTTATTTAAAAAAAATAATTAATTTTTTAATTTTTTTTTAATTTTTTTTAATTTTTTTTATTTTTTTTTTAGTGAATGTAGCCTTACGAACAACTGTTTTGAACCATTTCCTTTAGAAAAAAAAGCTCGTTTTCATTTTTTGAAGGTTCTCAGTCCTTCCCTGAGACCACGAGAAGGCCATGGTTGGCCAACAGGCCACCTAAAGCGGTCAAAACACACCCAACTAAAAAAAAAAAAAAAAAAAAAAATCATGCAAACAACCTTTCTGGAGTATGATCTACTACAGATTCGACAAACGTCTTCGATAAAACGAAAAAGCGTTCCTGAAGACCAAAATTTTCTTTTTCTAGAAGGTTGTCCTTTTTTTTTTGATGTCCACCAAAATCCTGGCCATCTTCTGCGGATGCATTTTCTAAAAAAGAGGCACCTAACTTTTTGACAAATTTTTTTTTTTTTTTTTTTTTTTTTTTTTTACAAAATTGTTGGAACTTGTCTCATATTAATCAGCCTACTGACCCCCCCCCCCCCCACCTCCACCCCTCCCCCCCCCTTCCTTATGATCTGTAACTGTATGTGGCGCCCCCCTTTGGACCTCCTTCGCTGTGCTGATGCAACTGGCAATGCTAGCTCTGTGGACTGTGCTTTTTGCTGTTTCCCAGAATTCTCTATTTTTATTTTATTTATTTATTTATTTTTGTCTCTTGCCTTTTATCACCCTTACAGTAGGGGGTGGAATTCTTGTAGAGGGATTTTTTATTTTTTATTTTTTTTTTTTATTTTTTTTATTTTTTTTTTTTTTTTTTTTTTGCATGTGCCTCAATTTTATGTCTTGTCCTGGTCTATAATCTACTTCTTTCCCAACAGAACATTTGGGCCCCACCTAGGTCAGTTCAGAATGGGATGGCCGATGTTTTTGGGTAGTGCCCATTGGGTTTGAAGAGGAGCGTGTGTTGAAGGTTTAAAAAAAAAAAAAAAAAAAAAAAAAAAGCTACTCAATTTTTTTAAAAAATTGGTGGTGGTCCTATCCAATAAACGAGAGATGAAGATCTGTAATAAGTACATAAAATATTTGATGGAATTTGGAAATATTTAGATTTTGTAGGATAAAGAACCCCTTGAGATGGGCCCACCATGGCCGTCCATGTAGGGTCTCCATTTTTTGTGTCTCGTTTTGTACCTTTTCCCATTGGTGTTCCTCTGCATGTGCCATCGAGAAGTCTGTTTCTGTCGTTCCTCCCCTCTGATTCGCTGTTGCCCCTTCCGCTCCCCCCCCCTCGGGCTTTCTGCTCCCCCCACTAGAGTGCCTGAACTCCTGGCTGCGGTCTGGGATTTGGATGCAACCAAAAGTCTGTCTTGGTGATTGGCTTGGCCCATCAGAGGCCTCGTTTCGTACATTTGCCGTTTTGTGTCCTCCATGGGGGGGGGGGGTGATATGCCAGATGGTTTGTTAATTATTGTATTTAATGAAAAGCTTTTGAGACCCCAAGATTCAATAAAAAAAAGACCCCCCATAGAATATTTTATATAGTCCTAACCTGCCAGAACATTTTGAGGTCCATGAGAACCATGAGGACCATGAGAACCATGAGGACCATGAGAACCATGAGGACCATGAGAACCATGAGGACCATGAGAATCATGAGAACCATGAGGACCATGAGAATCATGAGGACCACGAGGACCATGAGAACCATGAGAACCATGAGAACGGCAGAAGACGGTTTGTCGCTTTGTCCTCACCAACTGTGGTTCTTCCAATTTTACCGAGGTCTTGGTGAAGCTTGATCAATTTCATGCCGGGTCGACGTGTGTTTTCAAGTGTGTCCCCATATGGAAGAAAAATATATTTGAAAAATATTTTAAAAATTATTCTTTATTGACATATATTTGAAATACTACAATTTTTGGCCGTATTCAATATATTTTCAATAAAAATTAAATTAACAAAAAAAATAAATTAACAATATATAAATATAAATAATATATATATATATATATGTTGAAATGCATTTATAAATATATGTTAAAATTACTTTTTTATGTGTTAAGAAAAATCTGAAGAATATATTTAAAAAAAAAAAAAACATTTTTAAAAATATTTTTCATGTATTTTGTAATATATAAAAAACGCATTTCAATATACAATTTATATATATATATATTATATATATATATATATATGTGTGTATGTATGTATGTTGAAATGCGTTTTTTTATTACAAAATATATGAAAAATATTTTTAAGAATACATTTTCAAATATACTGTATGTCTTTTTAAAAAATACAAATCTACATTTTTGGAATGCATTTATAAATATATGTTAAAAAAAATCTGAAGAATATATTTAAAAAAAAACATATTTGTAAAAATATTTTTCATATATTTTGTAATATGTACAAAACACATTTCAACATACACACTATATATATATATATATCTATATATATGCATTTTTATTTCAAAATATATGAAAAAAATAAATATATATATATAATATATAATTTTTTTTTTCATATGTTTTGTAATATATACAAAACACATTTCAGTGTACACTATATTTATTTATATTATTATTATTATTATTTTTTTTTTTTTTTTATTGCAAAATATCTGAAAAAAAAAATATATATATATATATGTGTGTGTGTGTACACATGCATTCCAAAAAAGTGCACTGCATTCCAAAAATGTAGATTTGTATTTTAAAAAAAAAAATTCAGTATATTCGAAAATGTG